AGTAGAGAAGTGGTATGCAATTACTAGAGAAACTTCAAATGAGGTTTGCCATTCTAAGAGTGTGTCTACACTGTAGAATTAATGCATTTTGACACCACTTTAAATGTCATGGCTCAGTGTTATGGAACCATGGGAGCTGTAGCTTTACACAGTCTTTAGCCCTCTCTGCCAAAGCTGTGAACAACAGAAAATGTACCTCTGAGCAAAGGTGTGCCAGTGATTCATGTTGTTTCCTGTTAGAATTGCATGAGGAGGCTCAGCATGAGGAGGCAAGGAAAGAAGCAAGCAGTCTTCTTTCCTTGTCTCCCAGTTACCTACACAAACTGACCATTATCTCATCATCAGGTGGAGTTTAATTTGGCCCCTCAAGTATTTATGCACACATACGTAATAATTCTTCTCCGTGACTAGACATGTAATAGGAACCATTTGAGAAACTACTCTGGAAATAGTTCTTGTACTGGAAAGCTGATCTGCTTGCTTGGGAAGCTCTCCGAAAGAACAGGCATCTATAAATAAACAATTTCTGTTTGAAAACAAACTTTGCAATTGGGAAACCACTTCTTAGGAAATGTATGAGGTATCGTATTCTACCCAGTGACAGATGAGATAAAATGCAAATTGTCAGGAGGGTTTTTCCATTAAGTTCACAAAATAACCTTAGTTCTTGAAAACTTTCCATCCTGTCTGGGATTGTAATATTGGGGGTAACTTTCTGAATGTTGCCATTTTAATGTCAGATTTGTTTTACTTTACTGTATTACTTCCATAGAGGTTGTGATAGGATGCAAAGATCTGTGGATACAAAACTGATACTAAAACTCTGCTGCCGAAGGCAGTCACTGTTCTTCTGCAACAGAACCAAGACATAGTTAGTCTTACATAAAATTGTGGAACTTTATTTTTCTTTTTGCTTTAGTATACCAAATTAACAGCAAAGCTCATATGATCCTTTCCGACCAAGTACAGTTGTAAACATCAGCTATGGTTATGCTGTAAACTTTTTAATACTGCACAGAAGAGGCGTCTTGTTTTTAGATTTCATGTCCTCATATAGACCCATGTATATGCAAATGCCCTCTGCTTTTGCAGAGTTTAGGGCATAACACCTCCTTGGAAGTGGGAAAATTACTACTACTAATAATAAAAACACTGAGAATACTCTGTTCTGTTTTTGCGCTTGATCATTGACCAATTTGGGAACAGACTTACTCCATCTAAGTTAATATTATACCAGGAAAAAGTTGACTGATCATAGTTGTCATATTCACCTTTGAAGAAAAAGAGAATAGAATCATAGAGTTGAAAGAGATCCTAAGGGTCACTCAGTCCAACCCCTTTCTGCCATGCAAGAATGCACAATCAAAGCAACCCCTAACAGATGGCCATTCAGCCTCTGCTTAAAAGGCTCCAAAGAAGGAGACTCCACCACAACCCAAGGCAGCATACTCCACTGCCGAACAGCTCTTACTATCAGGAAATTCTTAATATTGAAATGGAATCTTTTTTCCTGCAATTTAAATCCATTTCTCCATGTCCTAGTCTCAGAAGCAACAGAAAATGTGATATCCTTTCAAATATTTAAATGCAGTTATCATGTCCCCTCTCGACCTTTTCTCCCAGCTCTCCCAGCCATTCCTCAGACAGCTTGGCTTCCAGACCTTTGACCATTTTGGCAGATCTTCTCTGGACACTTTTCGCTTGTCCTTCTTGAATTTTGCCTAGAACTGGACACACTGTTGACTCACGTTCAGCTTGTGGCCTACTAAGACTACCAGATCCCTTTCACATGTACTGTTTTCAACCCAGGTATTACCTAGGGGTGACAGTTACATAAACAAGAAAGAGACTTGAGAATTAGACAGAGTATTGGGTAGATACTAGGTTTGTTGGTGATCATTGGCCACTCCACATTCAAAGACAGTAGGTTTCAGAATTTAGTGAACCCTTCATAACCATAGGGGTTGGTTTTATGGATGCTCAAGTCCCATTATATAAAGTGGCATAGTAAAAAGATGTCCTTTATATAAAATGACAAGAGCATAGTTTGCTTTTGAATTTTTTTTGGAGGGGTGGGGAAACATTTTCCAGCTGCAGATGGTTCAAATGGATGGAGAACCTGTGGATAAAGAGGGCCTACTGTTCTAGATAATGAGGGCTAATAAGTGGAGCATGATGCTCATCTTATTCTTTACATTTCTAACAGAATGTATTTAATTAACCATTTTCAGAAGCCGGATATTGGACTCAGTGGCTTGACCCATCAAATTTGTTTGTTACATAGGCTAAGTTTGCCTTATTCCAAGGCAAGAATATATGGGTTCAATACTTACTTTTGCAGATAAAAGAATGGGAGATGTGAAATTTAAAGATTTATAGTTTTCACCTTTTCTTAATACTTCATGTGTTTCTGTGCCTTCAACGACCTTCCCCACAATAGTTTATGGAAATAAAAACCACCATAATCTAATAAACATAGCCGAGCCACGCATCAAGTGATACTGATCACTTAATTTGTGTCTCCGGATTATCAAATCATGAAAATCATGTGACAAGAGTCAGAACAAGAGCCCACTGTGCCAGTATTTTGTTTCCAGTAGCTAACCCCAGACTTGCAAACAGATTTTCCTTGTTCTCGACATCTTCCATATGTAGAACTTTTATTTAATGCCTGGGTTTCCTCTTAACTCTCACTGATACAGGTCTCAGCTGTTGATAGAAAAGGAGTCAATATAATAGGAAGGTCGTTGCAAGTCTCCTGGAACGTTTCCAAATTAGGGACACGGCTTGGTTAAACATCAACTAACATTTCCTCTTGAACATTTGATTTGAGAATTTCACAAGTGATTTTCCTTACAGGTTTCCCCAGTGGTGGGGTAAAAGTATTGAGTATATGATAGGGGATTTTTAACAATTGGGGTTGTCTAGTCAAGTCTTTTTTATGTTTTCCATGTGACCAAGGACACTTTGAACATGTCTATCCACAAGGAACCTGACTGCCAGACCACTGGCCCCTTTAGTCCATTAAATTATTTTCACTGGAAATTAATCTCCATTGTTTCAAGCACCCACTCCTATTATTCAAGGTTATTTTAGTAGGGGATCCCAGCAATTGACTTTGCAGTTCCTGTATGTGGAATTTTAGCTGTATTATTAACCTACGGCTCCTGACCTACAATGACAAAAGTGTGTGTGTGTGTGGGGGGGGGGGGGGTTGGAATTGCTGCCAATAGAAGGTAATTGGTACAACTAAATCATTGCTCTGCAGCAGGTTTCTAGCCATTCCAGATATGTTTACTGTCTGCAGGCTCTTTGTTCCATAACAATTTTAAAGGCTGCATTGCGGTCCTGAAAATGGGCTCTGAAGCTAGTGATTTAAAGTGAGCACAATAGCTGCCGAGCTTGCTCAGTGTATTAAGCAGAAACAGGCTTAAATTCAGAAACTTAGTCACTGAACTTGATCAGTTTATTATGGGGACATACCTGGCTTTTAACTTTTGTTTTTGTGCCTTAGATGTATTGTATTGATGCTAATGTTTAATACCATTGGCCCTCAATATTTGTGATTTTAACTTTTGTGGATTTGATTATCTGTGGATTTGATTCATCTTGTCACTCTAGGTCCTCCAGTGCAACTCTATAGTCAACTTCCTTTGGAAGTTGACAGGATACACTGGAGCACCTAGAGCAATGGTTCTCAACCTGTGTGTCCCCAGGTGTTTTGGCCTACAACTCCCAGAAATCCCAGGCAGTTTACCAGCTGTTAGGATTTCTGGGAGTTGAAGACCAACACATCTGGGAACCCACAGGTTGAGAACCACTGACCTAGAGATTCTTAGACACGTTTTCTTTTTTGATTAAAAAAGTTTGTTGTTTGTGACTTCTTCACTTTTGTGGGTGTCTTGTACCTCTAACCACAGCAGATGTCAAGGGACTACTCTAGTTCATTTCACCATTCTAATAATGTATAGTTCCTAAGCCAATCTTCTCTGACAGTTTTATCCTTCCATCTTCGTTCTGGAGCCCCTGGTAGTGCAGAGGGTTTAACCCCTGTGCCGGCAGGACTGAAGACCCACAGGTCGCAGGTTCGAATCCGGGGAGAGTGTGGATGAGCTCCCTCTGTCAGCTCCAGCTCCTCATGCGGGGACATGAGAGAAGCCTCCCACAAGGATGGTAAAAGATCAAAACATCCTGGCATCCCCTGGGCAACGTCCTTGCAGATGGCCAATTCTCTCACACCAGAAGCAACTTGCAGTTTCTCAAGTCACTCCTGACACGACAAAATAAAAATAAAAATCTTCGTTCTAACAGAGAGGAATATAAAAATGATGGATATTGGCCTACATATATATTCTTGTCGAAGTGGTGGTTGAGTGCATGAAAACTGACCCAGGCTTGTAGCTGGATTATACACATAATGTTTTGCTCTAGCAGTCTTTCTCATTCTCCTGCCTCCACATCATGAAGTAATATTAGCTGTAAATAATAGAGTTATCCAAATCCACAGATCAGAGAAGTTCCAGAATTTTTCCGGAGGCAAACATGTTTCTGCCATTGTATCACAGGCATAATGCAATGCCTACTACACCCCATTGAAAGTACTGTATTTTCTGAAGAATAAAATTATGGGACTTCCACATAGTGCTGGCATATTGTGATAGCTCTTTTAAGGCTCTAAGAGATTACGAGGACTTGCTAGCAAATTCATAGAATTGCTCTGAGGGTGTATAAACATTGAGTGGTATCCAGTACTTAACAGTTGCTGATGGAATACTGGAATTCAGCAGAAATGGGGAGGGTGATTTTTGCTGCCTCACTGTTTGTCTCCTGTGTGTCTTCTTGAAGAGCTGAATTTTCAGTCAGCTTGAAAAATGGTAGAAAAGACAAAATAAAGAAATGACGCTGTTATGGTATTAGATTTCTGCCATTATAAAGTTATTTACATGTAAAACATTTCAATATCCAATAACATTTAATTCTCTTCTATCCCCATTATTCAGTGACTTCCTAATACTTCCTGGCTACATAGATTTTACTGCAGACCAAGTGGTGAGTATAAGGCTTAAGTCTGCATAATATAAAAATTAAAGTTGTAAAGAAAGAACACTGGAGGGCATTCTTTTTGACCCTTTTGGTGGCATCAAAAAAGTGCATTGTAATTATCTGTGTCTTTTATCTTTGAAATCACTTCTGTTAGAAAAGCTTGTCACAGAGTACGAAGTTACAAGAAGCAACTATGTTGTTGTCTAGATCAGAATGCTACTTTTAAAAACCCTTTCATGCCTTTAGTTACTGAAGTCATTCTGACAGAATTCTTGACAGGCTCAGAATTGAAAGCTGCATGTAGTTACAGCCAAGTTGTCTTTATTTTAAGGACCTGACCTCTGCTCTGACCAAGAAGATAACCTTGAAGACTCCCTTGGTATCCTCCCCTATGGATACAGTAACCGAAGCCAGCATGGCTATTGCAATGGCGGTATGTAACCTGGGATAAGAAAGAGGGTGGGATTACTCTAATGTGATATATGTTTCCCAGGGAAACATAGTTTGATAAACCGGGAAGTACAGATTGAGCATCCCTTACTCAGATTTTCAAAATCCAAAATTGTCCACGTATATGGCTGAAATAGCGATAACTCTTTTGATGGTTCTCTATACACACACTTTGTTTCATGCACAACATCATTAAAATATTGTATAAAATTAACATCAGTTTATGTGTATCAGGTGTGTATGAAACATAAATGAATTTTGTATTTAGACTTGGGTCCCATACCTTATTATGTACATATACAGGTATTTGAGAATATGAAAAAAGTGAAATCCAAAACATTTCTGGTCCCAAGCATTTTGGATAAGAGACACTCAGCCTGAACCTATAGGTAGCGGGAACTTTTTGCTTTCCTTCATTAAGCAGCAACACTAAAGCCATATGCTCAGTAGTTAGACTTATTAAACAGCAAGGATTACATCTGATTAGCCATGTATGAGATTGTGCTTTTAATCACATTCAGTTGAGCAGTAAATTTACTGCTGTTTGAAACTTTGTTGGCAGCAAGGCTCATTGTTTTCTAGTTTTGTTCGGTTGCCTCCAATATGGGATCCCTTTTTTAGTTGTTTTCAAAAACAGCAGGGCTTGTTGAAATCAGGGGGCATTTCTGCTGGACTGGACAGCCTCAGTCTTGCAGCTATGAAAGCTCTTCTCATTTTCAAGCATTTTGTCTGAATCCAACTTTTGATACCTGCCATCACATTTCCCCTTTGCATAATTGGCTACTTTCTCTTCCCCTGAACTTCTTGACACTTCTGCGTGTTTATCATTCTTCCCCAGCTGCCTCCTTCCGTTCTTTACATACTAATTTTGTTATATTGCTTGCGGTCTTTAGTGTAGCTCTCACTTCACCAAGCTAGTTACAAAATATGAGCCTTCTCGACACAAACATTTAAGTTTAATTTTTTCTGGGATAATCATTCATAGGGAATTGAAAACCGAAGTACTTTGCTTGAAAAGATGATGAGAAATCTAGTTTATGCACTGAGATTTTTGTTCACACCAGAGACTTTTACTTCTTCAACTACCTCTTCTTTCTCTATAAACTGCCAGTAAAGAATGGCTTCTGGTGGAGAAACAGCTTAAAAGCTGAGCCTCAGAGGTATTTGCACAAGCTGTTGTTGTTTTGCCTTGTTTGTGCCTATTTAAAAAGATTAGCATGCTGTTGCTAATTACCAGATGTTAGCTGAAGTAATCTTGAACCTTCCAGTTTTGCTTTTGGTTCGCCTCCGCTGCTCTCATGTTTAGCTGTATTTTTGTGTAATGTAGAATCTTACACAAGAATCTTAAATGCAAGAAATAACAATCTGTTGTTGTTGTTGTTGTTGCAATTTATTGTTCCTTACGTATCTTCTCAGCTCACAGGTGGGATTGGATTCATCCACCATAACTGTACTCCAGAATTCCAGGCCAATGAAGTGAGGAAAGTTAAGGTAAGAATCACTGTGGAGAAATAATGCATTGGCTACTATCTGGAATTGTTTTGCCCTTGGTAAGTTGATGCAGGTTCAACTCATTTACCTGGGCCTTCACCAGATTTACATGATTATCATTGTTTACAAAGGAAGAATGGAAAAATACCGTCATAGGAAGAACTATACATCACTGTCTTTAACCCTAACACTGGGAAGTCACTACAAGGGAAGGATGGAAGTAGGAAATGACATAATTAAGTACAATGATTGTATAAAAGTTGGGAAATATTGCATTGGTTCATGTATATATACATATGTATAGATTTGTATTGGGGTTTTTTATGAATGTGCAAATTAAAAAAAAAAGAGAGTTCCTTTTTAGCATCAAAATTCCCCTCAAGTTCCAATTCTGTTTAATAGTTGATTCTGGACCAATGTTAATTAAAACTGTTGTTGTTGTTGTGTGCTTTCAAGCCATTTCAGACTTAGGTTGACCCTGAGCAAGGGCTGAGTAAATTACCTTGTTTTGGTCCTTAGTTTGAGGACCTCTGGGGTAGACAAAGCCCTGTGGCAGAGGAGGAGTCTCACAAGTAACAAGGAGCCATGTCTGCAGCTGCAAACATGATCAGCAAACCTACAATTACAGAAATGTTTCTAGGAAAAGACAGGTCACCTCCTTTGCGGAGGTAACTAATATACTGTAATAGGAAATTATGGGAGACCACACTTCCCATTGAAATACTAATAAGTTTGTTAAAATTGTTCTTCGTTTTAATTATTGTATTAAGTGTTGTTAATTTTTTTTTGCACTACAAATGAGATATTGCAGTGTACATAGAAATTCATTCATGATTTTTTTCAAATTATAATCCGGCCCTTCAACGGTTTGAGGGACTGTGACCCGGCCCTCTGTTTAAAAACTTTGTGGACCCCTGGTCTACCCCTTCCCTGCAGCTGGCTTTATGCGATCCTTATCCTTTATGTGATCCTAGGCTGACCTTTAAATTGTTATAATTTGATGTTGTGAATTTTTTAATTTTAACTTCATGTGAACTGAACTGTAACCCCTGATCTGACCAGATCCTGCATAAAATGCCCTCGGCAGCACTTCATTTTCTACCTACTAGTGCAATTAAATCCTACTTTTATCCCTCTGATCCTCTGTCCAGATACATTATATTGCCTTCTCACCAAGTGTTTTAAACTTTTAATCCTTGCTACTGGCCCTGCCCACTGTGATTTATTTTCAGTGTTTATTATGATTTTGCATTGTTTGATGTGTTTATTTATATTGTTTCTTGTATTTTTATTTTTATATTTTATTGTCGTTGTATGTTGTTTTATTTGCATTGCTGTCCTGTTGGGTTTGGCCTCATGTAAGCTGCCCCAAGTCCCCTTGGGGAGATGGTGGAGGGACATAAATAAATTATTATTATTATTACTAGCCGTCCCCTGCCATGCATTGCTGTGGCCCAGTCTGTGTATTTGTGTTTTGTGTGTGTATATTTGTGCATATGTGTATGTTTGTGTGTATATATGTGGTTTTGTGCATACGTTGTAATGTATGTGTTTTTTTTTGGCTTTTTAAGTGTCTTCCACTGTATTTTTCAGTGTGTTTATGAGTGATGGTCACTCATTGGCCTGAGAGCTGTCTTCTGTCCAAATTTGGTATCAATTGGTCCAGTGGTTTTTGAGTTATGTTAATCCCACAAACGAACATTACATTTTTATTTATATAGATGATGATGATGATGATTATGTCCTATAATGTTTGGTGTTGTAATTTAATTTTCATGATTTTCTGTTTAAATTTTTATGGTTACCGTTTGTTAATATTGGCATTAAATGTTGCCTTTGTTTGTTGGAAACTGCTCTGAGTACTCATGGGAAGATAGGGTGGATATAAATAAAGTATTATTATTATTATTATTATTATTCCTTACTGAAAATTCTCCTTTTGAATTTGTATTGGTCTAGAAATACGAACAAGGATTTATCACAGACCCAGTAGTGCTGAGCCCCAAAGATCGGGTCCGAGACGTCTTTGAAGCAAAAGCCCGCCATGGGTTCTGTGGCATCCCCATAACAGACAATGGGAAAATGGGCAGCCGGCTTGTGGGCATCATCTCGTCTCGAGACATCGACTTCCTGAAGGAGGAAGAACATGATCTGCCGCTTAGTGAGGTGCGTGAAGGTCTTGTGTGCTACAGTGGATAAGCTGGAAAAATGTTCTATGACTTATGCTGTGATAGTAGGAGACCTCCTAGGGAACTCTAGAATGGGCCAGAGAAATTACATGTAATAATCTTGGGAAGTGTTGATCAATAGCATTTATTTTTGCAGGTTTTCACTTGGTTTATTTTCACTTGGTTTATTTTCTCCCCATTGCATAATGAAAGCCTTCTGTCATTGGCATTAGCTGGGCATCAAGTTTCAGCACTGCAGTCATGTACAATGCCTTCGAGCCAGATATGCTCTCCTGTACTATCTTTAGCTCAGGGTGATGAACCTGCCAGTATTTGCACCTCTCGGGAGCAGTCATAAATATCTCTCGTTATCCTCTGATGAGTTTTGTGTGACATACTTGCTGAAACAATTCAAATGAGACATAAACGGCAGAGAAGGAGAGGCTGAACAAAGTTGAATTTTCTGTGTTTGACATTTCAGAATTAGAACACAGCCTTCTAATGGTTGATACTTAATTTCTGTGTCATAATGGGGCTGCAGGCATTGCATTCTCAGGTTGCTTTCTCTGAAGCAGCCAGACTTGGATGTCAGTCCCCAGCTGTTAATTTACTTCAGAGATCCTGTATCTGTGGTTCAACCATCCACAGTATGATTTTTTTAAAAAAATCAAAAAGCAAACTTTGTTTTTGCTATTTTATATAAAGAGAAACATTTTAGGATACCCTTGTATATAATGGGATTTTAGCATCCATTGATGTTGGTATCCATGGATGGTCCTAGATCCAAATTTCAGCAGGTATCAAGGGCCCACGGTACCTACCTGTCAACTTAGATAGACTATCAAGTATATACTTGTGTCTGGACTGGACTACTTGAAATTGCTGGTGAAGGTTTGTGATTAAATAGATTGCATTCTGAAAATTCTGCTGCAAATAGAAAATTAGATATCAGTATTTACTTAGTTGCCAGGTTTTTCTTTCAAGTTATAAAGAAATAGATGAAACAAGTTGTATGGAATCATTAAGAATAGTAGTTTTGTTTTCAACCTTTAATAAAGAAAATGTTTTTATGGGTTTTCTTGTCTTTTTGTCTCATTGTAAAGAAGCAGGTTCTTTCCGTTGCTTGACGTGACCCAGGCAAATGGGTTCTCTTCTTCATTTCACTCTTTTTTTCTTCTAGATCATGACCAAGCGGGAAGACCTGGTTGTGGCACCGGCAGGAGTTACCTTAAAAGAAGCCAATGAAATTTTGCAGAGAAGCAAAAAAGGTCAGTGGAAATAAATATATGAGATGCTGTGCATTTGAATGCAAGTGTCAGTGCCATTGTGGTTCACCCTGGGTTTAATTCCGTAGCTTGATGTGCCTGTTGTAATGGCACATTACTTCCCACTCTTGAAACAGGAATTCTTCTAATCTGTTGAATAGAGGGATCTCAGTATTAAAATGATTTGGTGCATCCCAGGGTTTGTTGATCTAGTGATATGTTGTTTCAAGTGGGAAAGGTCATGAGTTTAAATAAATACCGTAATCCTGTTGTACTTTAGGTAGTGGAAGTCTATTGTAATTAGTTTTTCTGAGCTTCTGTGCTTAAGTCCCCATTTAGCCACATAGTCAGATGATAGCCTTTTTCAAGTAATCAGTATTATGATAATATTGTAGTGTATAGAAATGCTGTAAGCTAAGTAAATATGTAAATAATCTTTTTTTCAGCATGGGTTCGTCATAATTCTATATTTTTTCTTGCTGTGCATTTTGGGTCACTTTCTGTGCCTCTGTTATGTTACATTTTGGGAACTAGTTCTATCCAGAGTTGTGTAATGATTCCTGAGCTGCCTGATTTCTATTTGGGTTTTTTTTTCTTATAATTTTTATTACGGATTTTCAAGGATACATCTGAAGGGTTGTTGATAATCAGCATGCCATATTTTAATATTAAAAGTGTTGGGGTTGGGGTAGGGGAAGAGGGGGAGGGAAAAAGGGGAAAAAAGAAAAAAAAGGGGGGGGGTAATTGAATGTGACAGGGATTGAATTTTTACTGATTTTCCCCCTTATGGCTATGTTAGTAGTGATATACAGTCATCAAGTTCTTCTCCTCTCAGGGCTGCAGTTAGTTGATATTAAAGTATTTTTTTTATTGGAGACCAGTAATTGGATCAGTGTTTTGTTTAATTTTCAGGAGTTGAGTAACATTGTCCATGTTCATTATGTCTAATAGCTTAAGTGTCCATTCATCTAGGGTTGGTAATTCTTTGTTCTTCCATTTTCTGGCGAGGACCATTCTCGCCGCCGTGGCCATGTGGAAAAGTAGTCTATCTTTGTTCTTGTCAATATCAAAGTCTGTAGTTTGTCCATTTATGCAGATCTTAGCTTCCTGGTTTTTGTAAATGGATTTAATGGAGTTTATGAAGTAATGACCCATGTCCAGTTCTTGTATGAGTTTCAAGGAAGAATTCCCAGTTTATGTTGTCGAACGCCTTCTCAGCGTCGATTGCCAGGAGGGCCCATTCTTTGTCATTATTTTTTTCGTAGTATTCAATATTTATTATGGATCTAATGTTGTCTTTAATTTGGCGCCGTGGGAGGAACCCGGATTGCTCTTCTTTTATCCAGACTCTCAGGAATTGTTTTAATCTTTCCGCCAAAACATTTGCATAAATTTTATAATCAATATTTAATAACGATATTGGGCAGTAGTTTTTGACATCAGTCTTATCTGTATTCTCTTTATGGATCATCGTGATTGTTGCTTGGCTCCAGGAGTTAGGAATAATTTGTGTTTCTAGTGCTTGGTTCATGAGTATTTCCAATTTTGGTATGAGTTCCTTTCCAAAGGTTTTGTAATAAAGGGCCATAAAACCGTCGGGTCCTGGTGCTTTAGTTGGGTTTAATTTTGAAATTGCCATTTGAATCTCTTGGTCTGATATTTCTTTATTTAGCCTGATTTCAATTTGTAGTTGTTTTTCATTGTTCTTATGTCATTCACTTTTTATTTCTCTACTTTTATTAAAGTTGTAGGAGATTTAAAAAGTATTTAAGAATAATGGAAATTAGTACTGCCTAAAAATTTTGTAAAATGAGAATCACTATAAAATGTTACTTAGGCATGACTTTCTTTTTCAATTTCAAGGTAAATTGCCCATTGTTAATGATAAAGATGAATTGGTGGCCATAATCGCTCGCACAGATTTGAAGAAGAATCGAGACTACCCCCTGGCATCCAAAGATGCCAAGAAACAACTGCTTTGTGGTGCTGCAATTGGGACCCATGAAGATGACAAATACCGGCTTGATCTTCTGGTGCAAGCTGGTGTGGATGTGGTTGTGTTGGTGAGTGCTAAGAGATGGTATATGAGCAATAATTGCAATGGTTAGCTAAACTTGTATTTTGAAACTTTAGATACAGTGAATCTCCTGTAGGAGAGATAAAGCAGAGTATAAATATATAAATAATAATAAGTGTCCTTTGAAAGTTATATAAATTGACCAACATTCTTAACTGTCTAGTTTTTCTCTGTACTGTTGTCAACTATTCAGTGTAACTAATGTTTATGTGTTGGGGAAGAAACCTTCTCAAGCCTCCTTTATATGATGTTTGTCTGTTTTGTAATGTATCTTTATAACCTGAAGTATATGTCTTACTTGATTCGCAGTTTCCTCAAAACGGCTCTAACACACAGCCATAAAGCTATAAACCAATTAGTTTTATTTACAGACTATATACATAGCAGAGTTGCATAGTAGTGTCTGCCATGGCTTCTCGGCTTCTTCTTCACACTCAGTAGAACACGTCTACTCACATTCCATACAAGGCATTATATGTCACATACAGGAAGCAGGAACTAACACACACACATATACCTTTCTAGGATTCAATACATAACTCAGTGGTTCCTTAGCACTATCACTGCTGAACATTATTACCTACACATGCTTACAGTATTAAATCACATTTTGGAAAATCTACTACATAACCTAAAATACAAAAACTGACACTTATCTCTATATACCTACAGCAGTGGGAGGGGCTGCAGGTTATGTGACTGACTCAGTGACAGTTTAGAACAGGATGACAGTCAGGGAATGTCAGTTGAGGAATGACTATTAGAGAAGTGTGTTGGTTTTTGAATGAGCTTGAGTGTAGAAGTCTTGTCAGAGTGCTAAAGCTCATGTTAGGAAGATAGAGACCGTTGAGACTTGTGTTTTATTTAAAAGTAAACTCTTATTAAAGAGAGATGTATAAACAACATAGTTTATGGAGAAACTGTTAAAGATAAGTTCAAGATACAAACTCTCTGAAATGCTACTGTAATTTTTAACCCTTGACAAGAAATGTGCCTGTATCTTTAAATACACGGAGTTATCAGTAAACAATACTTATCTTTAAAAGAAGTCGGCTTGATTCATTGCCTGCTGAAAGCATCAAACAAAAACAAAATATATCCATGTCCAGCGATAATCCATTACTCAATAAACTAAAGGGACATTTCTGCTACTCCAATTAGGTTGTGATCCTAACAGTCATGACCTATACCCCAGTGGTTAGTGATCCTAACAGGCCATGATCCATTCTCCCCAATATTATGTTTCTCAAAAATCTTTTTTGTTTTTGTTTTGTTGTTTTGTTTTGTTTTTTGGTAAGTTGCCCTGTCTGGTTTGTTGTGAATTCTAGTTAATATGAAGGTAGCCATTACCCCAGCCCAGTAGCTACTTATGACAGCCCTAAGATGAACTTACCACAAGGTTTTATTTGGCAAGATTTGTTCAGAGGAAACTTGCCTTTGCCTTCCTTTGAAGCTGAAAGAGAGTGATTTTCCCAAGGTCACCAAGTGGGCTTCCTGACGAAGCAGGGATTTAATCCCTGGTTGCCAGAATCATTGTCCCAACCATGAGGACCTTTATTATACTTCAAAGTAAGATGTCTAAGTAAATTCTTCCTACCTCTGAGGATGCTTGCCATAGATGCAGGCGAAACGTCAGGAGAAATGCCTCTAGAACATGGCCCTATAGCCCAAAAAAACCCACAAGAACCTAGTAAATTCTTCCTACTCCTTTAGATGTATTTGATTCCTAAACCTTTCTACATCCTTTCTTTGAGACATATAGTAGATATGCTTTATACACAACTGGCATTTTAATATTTTCTTCTATTTCTGCTCCCCCACTTTACTTAGGAAGGAATAGATTATTGCCCTTTTGCACCTAGATGTAGAACATTACCATCTACAAATGTGTTATGCTAATAGATGGTTTCAAATGTTTAGAAACCGAAACCTGTTTTTCCTCTAATGCTTTCAGGGATCATAGATCATTTTTGTAACAAAACCCAAAAAATAACTGCCTTAATAACAAATCCGGGAAGTGGGGTGAGTTCCTGCTGTTAGACCCAGCTTCTGCCAACCTAGCAGTTTGAAAACATTCAAATGTGAACAGATCAATAGGTGCCGCTTCTATGGGAAGGTAGTGGGACTCCATGCACTCATGCTGGCCACATGACCTTGGAGGTATCTATGGACAACCCCAGCTCTTGGGCTTAGAAATGGAGATGAGCACCACCCTCCAGAATCGAATACAACTAGACTGAATGTCAAGGGAAACTTTTACCTTTATCTTTATCTAATAACAAAATTGAGGGATCACTGTGGAAGGAACATGGTATGCATGTTCCATCCTTAGGTTTTTATTTTAATGTGTTTTTATTTGGATTGATATATTTTACTATTCTTTTATTTTAATTGTGTTTTTGTTTTAATGTATTGTTTTGCTTTTATGTCTTGGCATTTGTTCCATATGTAAGCTGCCCCGAGTCTCTTCGTGGAGATGGTGGCGGGGTATAAAAATAAAGTTGTTGCTATTGTTGTTGTTGTTATGCAGATAATGAATTCAGTTGTAATTCCACATTAGTAGCGGCTGCAGGAAAAGGTTTGCCATACTGGTTTTCAGTGTGCTCCATAATGTTCCAAGTTGATTAGCTTAGATAGGCCTCTCACATAAATGTAGACTTCTTCAAATCTAGTAACACCAATTTCTAACTTGTGTTTTGTTTTGTTTTTTGTTTTGTTTTGTTTTATCCCAGGATTCCTCTCAAGGGAATTCCATTTTCCAGATCAACATGATCAAATACATCAAGGAAAAATACTCTGAGCTGCAGGTCATTGGTGGCAATGGTAACAGGATTTTTGATGTTTAACTATTTAAATACGTATGTTCCTTTTCTTCAGGTTATTGGGTTGTCAGCATGTTTTGATACACTGTGCTAAATCTCTCCTTTCATCTTCCAAATCTTATTAGACTGCAAATGGAAAAGGTCTCTTATGATGCTGTACACCTTGAACTGCTATTAGTCCTAGCCAACCTAAGCTGACAGTGAAATGTGTTGAAGTTGCGTTCCATCAAACTCTGGAAGACTCCAAGTTCCCCATCCCTGAATTGAATAGTCAGGTGTCTCCTTCATACCTAAATTGTATTAAGGCCAAAACTTAGAGGAATGAACATTTAGCATATTATTTAATTTTTACAGTGTATTCCAGCTCATCCTTGTTGGAACCTGGATTTAAATAACAGCTCAGCAGTAGACTTGCTGAATGACTTATCTGCCATCCTCATCTCCTCATGTGTAAATAATTAGGCTCTGTTGCAGTAAGTTGATCATGAATGAGAGTGGAAAATAATGTTATTTCCTAGAGCTTTAGGGATCTAAATTTTAAACAAGCAGACACATACATACATGTTTGTGTGTGTTAAAATAAACTTTAATTAAATTGGCAATATCTGACAGTAAGTTTTATTTAAAACGATATTTTTTCCAAAGTTATAAAATGTGAAGCAACTCTACATTAATGAATGCAACCGTGTTCCAAACATGATAGGAAACCATGAATAATAAAAAGTGGAGCCCTCAAGAATAGACATCAAATGTTCGATGTCCTAATTTATTTAACGTTGTGTTTGAATTAAGCACTTAAGGGGTTTTTTTCTGAGACTGTATGCCTCTACACTGCAGTTTGATACTATTTTAACTGTCATAGCTCAGTGCTGTGGAACCTGAGGAGTTGTAGTGTGTGAAACACCAGCACTATTTAGCAGAGAAATCTAAAAACTCTAAATGCTGATCCAATAGCATTGAGCTATAGCAGTTAAATTTGGTGTCAAACTACATTGATCAACTGTATAGATCAGGCATGGGCAAACTTCAGCCCTCTGGGTGTTAGGAATTGTGTGAGTTGAAGTCCAGAACACCTGAAGGGCCGAAGTTTGCCCGGGCCTGGTATAGATGCACCCCATGTTGGCTTCCCCTAAAGTCAGAGCATAAGTTTTGTGCAAAGTTGTTTCCATTATGTTGTCGAAGGCTTTCATGGCCAGGATCACTGGGTTACTGTGAGTTTTCCGGGCTGTATGACCATGTTCCAGAAGCATTATCTCCTGACGTTTTGCCCACAGGTATCCTCAGAGGTTGTGAGGTCTGTTGAAAACTAGGCAAGTGGGGTTTATATATCTGTAGAATGTCCAGGGTGGGAGAAAGAACTCTTGTCTGCTGGAGGCAAGTGTGAGTGTTGCAATTGGCCACCTTGATTAGCATTGAATAGCCTTGCAGCTTCAAAGTCTGGCTGCTTTCTGCTCAGGGGAATCTGTTGTTGGGAGGTGTTAGCTGGCCCTGGTTGTTTCCTGTCTAGAATTCCACTGTTTTTTTTTCTCTTTATTTACTGTTCTGATTTCAGAATTTTTTAAAAATACTGGTAGCCAGATTTTGTTCATGATCATGGTTTCCTCCTTTCTGTTGAAATTCTCCACATGCTTGTGGATTTCAATGGCTTCTCTGTATAGTCCGTTACGGTGGTTGTTAGAGTGGTCCAACATTTTTCTAATATGTTGTGTCCAGGTTGGTTCATCAGGTGCTCTGCAATGGCTGACTTCTCTGACCTCACTTAACTAGTTTCCAACAGACCTCCCAACCGCTGAGGATGCCTGTGATACATGTGGGTGAAACATCATGAGAGAATGCTTCTGGAACATGGCCATACAGTCCTAAAACATCTAACATGAATCCATTGGGAGAGTTCATGCGGAGTTTCAGATCACAATGTCATCTGTACGCAGATGATGTCCAACTCTGTCTCTCCTTCCCACCTGCTACTAAGGAGGCTGTTCAAGTCCCGAACCGGTGCTTGGCCACTTTGACAATCTGGATGAGAGCAAACAAATTGAAACTTAATCCAGACAAGACAGAGGTCCTCCTGGTCAGTCGCAAGGCCGAACAGGGTATAGGGTTACAGCCTGTGTTGGATGGGTTCGCACTCCCCCTGAAGACACAGGTTCGCAGTTTGGGTGTGATCCTGGACTCATCACTGAGCCTGGAACCCCAGGTTTCGGCGGTGACCAGGGGAGCATTTGCACAGCTAAAGCTTGTGCGCCAGCTGCGCCCATACCTTGGGAAGCCGGACTTGGCCACGGTAGTCCACGCTCTGGTTACATCCCGTTTAGACTACTGCAACGCTCTCTACGTGGGATTGCCTTTGAAGACAGCTCGGAAGCTCCAACTAGTCCAACGCTCGGCAGATACTAACAGGAGCGGAGCACAGGGAGCACACAACTCCTCTGCTGCACCAGCTCCACTGGCTGCCGATTTGCTACCGGGCTCAATTCAAAGTGCTGGCGTTGGCCTTTAAAGCCCTAAACGGTTCTGGCCCAACAAACCTATCCGAACGTATCTCGGCCTATCAGCCCACCAGGACCCTAAGATCTTCTGGGGAGGCCCTGCTCTCTATCCCGCCTGCTTCACAGGTGCGGCTGGCGGGAACGAGAGACAGGGCCTTTTCTGTGGTGGCCCCTCGGCTTTGGAATGCCCTCCCCATAGAGATAAGATCTGCCTCCTCGCTGATGGTATTTAGAAAAAAACTAAAGACATGGATGTTTGAGCAAGCATTCGGCTAATCTGATGCAATGAAGTTGATGATCAAGGACTGTAACCACAGACGATGAAATTGGATTATGATTTTAGTTAAGAGATGCATTGATTGTATTGGTGGCCCAATACTGTGTATTGTGTATGTGTTTTTATGCTTTTTAAATTGTATATTGTTGATTATTGTAGTGTTGTAAACCGCGTTGAGTCGCCAATGTAGGCTGAGAAACGGCGGTATACAAGCGCAGTAATAAATAAATAAAATCTCACAGAAACCCATTGTTTCCAGTGCTTTGAAAAAAATGATCTTTTGTTAGAAGCTGATGAAAGCCAAGTTCCTTTGTGTTCCTCTAATTTTCAAAATATTTCCCATTACTTCTAGTGGTGACAGCAGCCCAGGCGAAGAACCTGATTGACGCTGGGGCTGATGCCCTGAGAGTCGGGATGGGCAGCGGCTCCATCTGCATAACTCAAGAAGGTAAAGTAAAATGGGGAGTAATATCAACCCAGACTTTCCCAGTGCTTGCCTTCATGAGTTTGATCTTACTCTGCAGAGATACATACGCATTATAAGATATTGGGGTTTAGATTTGGTCTTCTGAGTCATTTTGATACTTCTACCATTGTTTTGCAATGCCGACAAAATAATGGCTGCAAATTTTCTGCTGCACAGACAGAGGAACCTGGCTCTGGGTATCCAGAGGTTTACTCGTACAGGTTGAGCCTTCCTTATCTGGAATTCTGAAATTCTCCAAGTTGACCACATGACTAGTTGAGCGGTAGTGATGCTGATACTTTCTGATGGTTTGTCTTATCTACATACTTATTAAAATATTGTGTACAAAATTACCTCCAGAAAATATATGTGAAACTTGAGTCTAATCGCCAAGAGATCTAAGTATTCTGAAATCTTGAAACACTTTTGATCCCAGGCAGTTTTTGGATATGGGATACTCAACCTGTCTATGAAGCCAACAGAGAAGTGCATTAGGTGGTCAGACCAGGGCCAGGCTGTGCTAGAGAGGGTCATTGGGTTCATCCTCTTTTGCAATGAGAGGAGCGTGTCCTGGCTGCTCAAACACCAGCTTGTATGCTGGCGTTGCATCACTGTTCGGGTTGCCCTCTGGTTCCTGCAGCTTCTTTCTTATCTCTAAACTGTGTGTGTTTTTTGTCTTGTTTAGCTGCTCCAACGATCCCTCCAGACCTAAAGTCCCACAGCCCCAAATGCCCTTCCACAGTCACTGGCACGTATAGTAAGTCATTGGGCCTTTCCCCCACCACCACCCTTAATTATGTGTCTTGGAGCAAGGCTCTGATTGGCTGCCCACTTGCCCCCTTCCTGCCCCTGCTTGTTTGAGAGTAATCTAGTTGTAGATGCACTTGGGGTTTTGTGGCTTTGGATACTGGTTGTTGAAGCTGAAAAGTATTCTGAACCTCCTTTTTTTTTCTAAAGCAGGGTTCTAATATTGTCATTTTGAAAATACTAGTTGGGTGTGATGTCTCTCTCTTTCTAAATCTCAAACTTGCATTTAAAGTGATTAAATGGCCATTATGGGCAAAGAGGACAGTATTATCTATACTTTAGATCAGGCAGGGACAAACTTCAGGCCTCCAGGTGTTTTGGACTTCAGCTCTCACAATTCCTAACAGCCGGTAGGAATTGTGAGAGCTGAAGTCCAAAACACCTGGAGGGCTGAAGTTTGCCCATGCTTGCTTTAGAGAATGCTGTGAAACTGCATTCAGAAGATAAATTAGTTGAAATCTTTCATTCTATTATAAATGCAGTTGTAGCACCACCTTGATTATGGATTTTTATTTTATTGGCGTATTTTTCAGTCAGGATGTTTACAGATTGATTCAGCTGAACGAACAAATAAGTTAACACTTCTTTGGATTCAAACTACATAAAAAAGATAATCCAACTAAAGATTAGGAAGAACTTTTTGATTGTAAGATCTGTTTGACAGTCAAAGTCTCCTTCTCTGTAGGTTTTGTAATATTTGCTGGATGATCATCTGCCAGGAGTGCTTTGATTGTGTTTTCCTGCATGGCAGAATGGGGTTAGACTGGATGGCTATTTGGGGTCCCTTCCAACTCTTTTATTCTCTTTTTCTTCTAAGGTTAACATGACAACTATGACCAGTCCTGGTATAATATTAACTTAGATGGAGTGAGTCTGTTTCCAAATTGGTCACTGATCAAGTGCAAAAACAGAAAACATTCATCTATACTTTGACCCTTGGTGCGTCTCATTTTGTATAAGGCCACTCTTCTACTTTCTCTTTTTAACTTGCACTCCTCCACAGTTATCTGGAATTTTTCAAATAATGGTCCTCCCTTACAGTCTCATATCAAATAAGCTATCCGTTATATTATGTGCTGGTCATTAGCAAATTATCCAGAATTATAGGGTTCTTTGATATGAACCGTTTGCCTTTCTCTTACTGATGTGGCTTTCCTGTGATCATAGTGTTCCAGGGTTTGTTGTTACTGTCAACTGCCATCAGGTTATTTTTTATTTATGACAACTCTATGAATGACAGACCCCCAAGTCATTTTATCCCCAACAGTCCTACTCAAATCTTGCAGATTCGAGGCTGAGGCTTCCTTGGTTGAATCTATTAATCTGGAATGTGGTCTTTCTTTTTTCTAACTACCCACCATCTTGCCTAGCATTACTGTCTTTTCTAGTGAGTCATGTCTTCTCCAAAGTATGCTTTTAGGGGATATCGTTCAAGCTTGATTTGCTCTAGGATCCATTCATTTGTCTTTGTAGAAAGTCTTTGTAGAATTCAAATGAGATACATAATCTTCTTCCTACCAGCTTTCTAGCCCCCCTGATGGTGCAGCAGATTAAACTGCTGAGCTGCTAAACTTGCTGACCAAAAGGTCAGCTGTTTGAATCCAGGGAGCAGGGTGAGCTCCTGCTGTTGGACCCAGCTTCTGTCAAACTAGCAGTTCGAGAACACACAAATGTGAGTAGCTCAATAGGTACTGCTTCTGTGGAAAAGTAACAGCACTCCATGCACTCATGCTGGTCACATGACTTTGGAGGTGTCTGTGGACAATGCCGTCTCTTCGGCTTAGAAATGGAGATGAGCACCACCTCCCAGAGTCAGACTTGGCTAGACTTAATGTCAGGTGAAACCTTTACCTTTACCTTACTAGCTTTCTTCATTATCCAGCTTTCACAACCGTACATAGAAATGAGAAATACAATGGCATGGACCATATACTAACTTCAGTATATAATGATATATCTTTACACTTCAAGATCTTGAACCATTTTATTGTGTACTTTAAAGTGAAGTAATTCATCTGTGGTCTTTATTTTTGTTTCTAAATGTTCAATTACAAACATACCTTGTCAATTTCTTCCTCGATTTTCTTCCATAATTCACTCCCAAGTGTTTAACATGGTGCCATCTGCATAGCTTACATTGTTGATGTTCCTTCGTCTAATTTTCACTACTTCTTCCAATTAGTCTAATCCTGCATTATGTATTATATGTCAAGCGTACACTTTAAACAGATAGGATGGTAAAATTGCCTGACCCCCCCCCCCCCCCCCCCCCCCCCCAAGTTGGAAACTATTCTGCTTCTTTATATTCTTGTCCCGATTCTCTGATAATACTTAACGGAAAAGGATGGATATTGTATCTGGATTTTTTTCTCGCCTGCAAACATTTCAAATCCTCATTGTTAAAAGTCTTCGTCATATAGTAAACCCTGAAATGAGTAAAACCTTTTGGACCGCATTTGTAACAGTGCATTCACACAACACAAGAAGCATCTGTCTTTCTATTGTCTTAAGAGCAAGAATGTGAAATCTAAAAACCTGTGAACTTATCTATTGACCAATGCAAAATCAATAGCTCAATTAGCAGAATTTGTGTATCTTTACTTCATTTATAATCCTGATGTTTTTTGTTGAAAGATCTTAGAAAGGTGGGCTGAGAAAGTCCTTTTCTCTGAGATTTTGAGAACTTCTGCTAAACAAGGTTAGCTACAACAGTAGTTTGTCTCAAGTAAGACAATTTTTAAATCCATAGATATTAAGAATGATGTTTGCATATTCTTTTATGGGAGATTGTAGCTTTAGGACATTAATGAGTTGTGCAATGCAAGACTAGAGTTGCCTATTTTGCCTCTCTTATTCTCTTCCAAAATGCCAAGAATTATTACCATGGGTTGTTGTGGGTTTTCCAGGCTGCGTGACCATGTTCCAGATGCATTGTCTCCTGACGTTTCACACACATCTATGGCAGGCATCCACAAGCATGTGGACAACTTCAACAGAAAGGAGGAAATCATGAAAATGAACAAAATATGGCTACCAGGGGAATTCCAGACAAAAATCAATCAGGGCCAGCTAACATCTCCCAACAAAAGATTCCCCCAGGCAGGAAGCAGCCAGGATTTGAAGCTGCAAGATCATTCAATTCTAACCAAGGTGGCCAATTGCAATGTTTATACTCGCCTCCAACAGACAAGAGTTGTTGCTCTCATCCTGGACATTGCACAGATATATAAACCTCACTTGCCTAGTTTCCAACAGACCTCACAACCTCTGAGGATGCCTGCCATAGATGTGGGCAAAATGTCAGGAGAGAATGCTTCTTGAACATGGGCATATAGCTCGGAAAACTTACAACAACCCAGTGATTCCTGCCATGAAAGCTTTTGACAGCACAGTTATTACCATACCCAAACCCTGCTTTGGAAGCCATTGCCACCTGTGTGAGTTGCGGTGCTGAAAAGTGAGATAGTAGGATTGTGTTTCACTCTTTGATACAACAGGCTGATTCTTCAAGGGTTAGTTTCATTGCACCATTGTGTACATTACGTTGCAAAGCTTGTTTATCAAACATGACCTGATTTCTATTTGCAAGGGGTGCATGCAAACACATTTGGCTCCAAAGGCTTGGTGCTCTTTATGTAGAAAATCTGTTTTTAATGCTTAGCTGTTTTGATGTTGCCTTAGCCTAAATGAGACCATCTCTTTAATACTAACCATGTTTCATTTTGCTGGTAGCATTCCAAATGGCCAAATTGAATGCAGCTGATTTCAGTGTGGCCAATTTGAATTAGAGTTTGGTGCAATTTCATGGCCCAGTTTGAGTTCCAGTTCAATGCAGTTGATTTCAGTGGCATCCAAAACTAACCTTCCTTAGCCTAGAATACACAAAATTCCTTCTTTGGAGCAGCTTTAGAAACTGGAAAGAAGAAATGACAGAGGAGCTTTTGTAAAAGTGGTTTCTATTCAGACTCATTCTCTTGGATTAGCTTTGGCAGTGCAGTCTGAAACCCTGCATTCAACAGGAACTGCACACTTTTTGACTAATTTTGCATGGTTATGATCTCATGTGATGCCTTGTACTAACTAACTGTGGCGGAGAAGCGTTTCTACGTAAAGAGGAAATCTGTTGAGCCAAGTCACTTGTGGTAGAGTTTTTTCTGCATGTCCACCATCTGTACAGTGTGTACACTTCCAGGCTCTACATCCGGTATGGGCAAACCCAGGCCCAGGGGGCAGATGTGGCCCCTTGGGCTCTTTTCTCAGGCCCTCCTCTCTCTCAACATCCTGCCCTTCCTTCTCTCTTTCCTTACTCCTTCCCTTCCACCCTTTCGTCCTTCCTTTTCCCTCTTTCTCCTTCCTTCCCTTTTGTCTTTCCTTCCTTCTCTCTTTCCTCCTTCCCTCCCTCTTTCTCCTTCCTTTCCATCCCTTCATCCTTCCTTCCTTCCCTCCCTTTTGTCTTTCCTTCCTTCTCTTTCCTTCCTCCTTACCTCCCTCCCTTCTCTCCCTCTTTCTCCTTCCATCCTTCCACCCTTTTATCCTTCTCTCCTTCCTTCCTTCCTTCCTTCCTTCCTTCCTTCCTTCCTTCCTTCCTTCCTTCCTTCCTTCCTTCCTTCCTTCCCTTTTGTATTTCATTCCTTCTCTTTTTCCTTTATTCTTGCCTTCCTCCCATCCTTCTCTTCCTTTCTTCCTTCCTTTCATCCTTTCTTCCCTTTTGTCTTTCCTTCCTTCCCTCTTTCCTCCCTCCTTCCCTCTCTCCCTCTTTCTCCTTTCCTCCTTCCCTCCCTCTTTTTCTGTCCCTTCCAACTCTTTATCCTTCCTTCCTTTCTTCCCTCCCTTTTGTCTTTCCTTCCTTCTCTTTCCTTTCTCCTTACCTCCCTCCCTTCTCTCCCTCTTTCTCCTTCCATCCTTACACCCTTCCTTCCTTCCTTCCTTCCTTCCTTCCTTCCTTCCTTCCTTCCTTCCTTCCTTCCTTTTGTCTTTCATTCCTTCTCTCTTTCCTTTATCCTTGCCTTCCTTCCATCTTTCTCTTCCTTTCATCCTTCCCTCCTTTTTGTCTTTCYTTCCTTCCCTCTTTCCTCCCTCCCTCTCTCCCTCTTTCTCTCTTTCTCCTTCTATCCTTCCCTTCCTCCCTTTCATCCTACCTTCCTTCACTCTTTCCTTCCTCTTACCCTTCCTTCCTTCCGTCACTGGGAAGCCAGTCCTCCTAGCAGGAAGTACTAGCATGCAGCCCCCAAGTTGGAAAGTTTGCCCATGCCTGCCTTCATCCACAAGAGTGGTAACAACTAAGAAATCTAGGACAAATTATTGATGCTAAAATTCTACATACAAATGAGCCCCTTATTAACATGTGGAAATGTTCCTTTATGACTTCTGGATCTTATCTTGAAATTAAAAAACTCTGAAATGGTGGATCGTGCTTCAATCACCCTTTTTGTTATGAGTTAGACAGCTTCCTGTCTGGACAACTGTGGTGGCATATAGGGCTGCACTCTCTCATGCAAGACCTTGGAAGAGATCACACTCCCATTGCAAAACACACACACAACCCATATTTACTCAAGTCTAATGTGGAGCTCACAGTGGGTTAAACCCCTGTGCCAGCAGGACTGAAGATTGATAGGTCACAGGTTTGAATTGGGGAGAACGCAGATGAGCTCCCTCTGTCAGCTCCAGCTCCTCATGCTGGGACATGAGAGAAGCCTCCCACAAGGATGGTAAAACATCAGAACATCTGGGTGTCCCTTGGGCATTGTCCTTGCAGACAGCCAATTCTCTCACACCGGAAGTGACTTGCAGTTTCTCAAGTCACTCCTGACCCGACAAAAAAAAAGTCTAATATTCCGTTTAATGGGATGTACACCTCAATTTTCAAAACCCTGAAACCAAAAAAATGTTTGCTGAATGTAATGTGGAGCAGCAAGAAGTGTGTTTATTGTAATTTGGCCAAAAAACATGTGCATTACTGTTGCTGCCTGATTACAATTTCTTCTTCAAAAGCAAAAATGTGAGAGCACCAAAGCTTCCAACAATTGAAAGGAAAACCTTGCACTATATTTATGCTGTAGAACGAATCCTCTTTAATTGCTTTGATTTGGTGCTATGTATTTACAAAGTCTTGAGCCTTCTCTGCCAAAGAAGGCTGAAGCCTCACCAAACTACAAATCCCAGGATTGCATAGCATTGAGCCTTAGCCATTAAATTACAGATGATATCCCTCAGATGCGAGGTCCAGATTCAGCTCCTGAAGCACATTCCCTTTTTGCTTTGGCTCCACACTAAGATTACTGTATGATGCAAATTAAATGCACACCCCAATTTTGGCAAGATCATTTAGGCAAAAAAGATTAACATTAGATTCAAATAAATACAGTATATTATGTTCCTGCCTACTAGTGGCTGTAGAGGCATTTGTACAATGGGTTGCTGTGAGTTTCTTGGCTGTATGGCCATGTTCTGGAAGCATTCTCTCCTGACGTTTTGCCCACATCTATGGCAGGCATCCTCAGAGGTTGTGACGTCTGTTGGAAACTAGGCAATTGAGCTTTATATATCTGTGGAATGTCCAGGGTGGAAGAAAAAAAAAACTCTTGTCTGTTTGAGGCAAGTGTGTATGTTGCAATTGGCCACCTTGATTAGCATTTAATGGCCTTGCAGCTTCAAAGCTTGGCTGCTTCCTATCTGGGGGAATGTGTTAGCTGGCCCTGGTTGGGAAGTGTTAACTGGCCCTGATTGTTTCCTGTCTGAAATTCCCGGTTTTTGAGTGTGGGCAAAACATCAGGAGAGAATGCTTCTGGAACATGGCCATATAGCCTGAAAAACTCACAGCAACCCAGTGATTCCAGCCATGAAATCCTTTGACAACACATTTGTTTTGGTTTATGGTTGACGAGGCGATAAAAACTGCTCCGACACAGTAGTAAAACAGTAAACCCATTAGCATTTATTTACAGACTATATACATAGCAGAGTTGCATTGCGGTCTGCTCACAGCAAAAGACAACTTCAGTAATTGCGTGTAGCCTCCTTCTGCATACACAGTAGAACACGCCTACTTCACATTCCATACAAGGCATTATATGTCACACACAGGAAACGGAAACTAATACACTTAACACTATGTCTGCTGAACATTATTTCATTCACATGCTTACAGCATTAAATCACATTTTGGAAATCTACTACATAACCCAAAAAACAGAAGCTGACCATTTGTACTATGTTTTATGCCTAGAAAGAGCCATTTTTTTCCAAATGAGAATTTTCGTCCATTTTTTTAAAAAGATCTTTCCTGGCCTTAAATGTTTCACTGATCATCAAAATATTGCAAAAATGCCACCATGATTCCTAGGGGGCATTTAAGAGGAATTAAACAATGTTTTTGTCCTCCTAGAGGGCCGTAAAACAGTCCTTGGGTTATGCTTAGCCTATATATGTGTTAAGTAGTGTAGCTGAAAGATGACTTTCCCATCCTGAAAGGTCGTGCCTTGAAGCAGGAGAAGGTCCTCTTCTTTATGAGACCTGCTTTGACCGAGACACTGACTGCTTCCCCTTCTTCTCTTTCTCTGTGGTTCAGTTTTAGCGTGTGGGAGACCTCAGGCCACTGCTGTCTACAAGGTGTCGGAATACGCTCGGAGGTTTGGCGTGCCGGTGATTGCGGATGGTGGCATCCAGACGGTTGGACACATTGCTAAAGCTCTTGCGCTTGGCGCTTCCACAGGTGAGGAGGGAGTTGTGCATAATTTGCTTCTGGTTGGCAACAGCATAGAGAAAGCACTGAGGATTGCTGCTAAAGGGAAATGCTGGTGTTACACCCAACAAGTTTAATTCTGTTTTAATTGTTACATGTTGTAGATTTTAAATTGCATTGTTTTTTTGTTTTGTTTTTGATGTTGTGAATGGCTTTGGGCTTCAATTAAAATGAAAAAGTGGAAAGAAAAAAATGTTTGTCTTGGTTTTTAGTTCTGTTCCTGGAGTTATTTGGAGTGCTGATTTAGAAAATTGCATTGGATAGAATGCATTAGCTCTAGTTTCTTAGATATGGTTGTCATGGTTTTCCGTGGGTGAGCAGATATGGCATATGTTCTGTATCTCAAAAAAGAGGTACCAGTTTTTGGAGTCAGCATGTCAAATATTACCTAGAACAGTGGTTCTCAACCTGTGGGTCTGCAGGTGTTTTGGCCTACAACTCCCAGAAATCCCAGCCAGTTTACCAACTGTTAGGATTTCTGGGAGTTGAAGACCAAAACATCTGGGGACCCACAGGTTGAGAACTACTGACCTAGAAACAAATAATACACCCCTATACACCTTAGTGACAAGTTCAGATAAGCCTTTCCAATTTAACTTGCTTTACCTCTTGCTCTGCATAATCTGTGACTGCCCAAAAAATGTTTCCACACTCAGTATGCTCCCTTGTGTAAATGCCTGTAGATTACTCCATGATTCTTTGGGTTATTTGTGATGATTTAAGAATTATCTTATATAAATTTCTTAAAGGTTCATACATCTTAACCCAGTGGTTCTCAACATGTGTGTCCCCAGGCGTTTTGGCCTTTATTTATTGTGTCAGGAGCAACCAGACAGTTGTATTACATTTTTAACAAAACAAACAAATAAATAAAAGTTGTAAGTTGTTTTGGCCTACAACTTATATTTATTATTTATTTATTTACAGTTATTATTTATTTATTACACCTCGCAGGGGACTCAGGGCGGATTACAATGTACACATATATGGCAAACATTCAATGCCAAAGACACACAACAGATATAGACAGACAGTCAGAGGATATTTAACTTTTTCTGGCCGCCAGGGGAGCTGTCGCTTTCATGGTCCATCTGTGACACTGATGAAGTACTTCCGCATTCCCCAGAAACTTTCAGAAATCCCAGCCAGTTTACCAGCTGTTGGGATTTCTAGGAGCTGAAGGCCAAAATGTCTGGGGAAGCACTATGTTAACCAACATTGGCATGAGGAGCAAAGTCCCGGTCAAGTTGGTTGCTGTATGCCCATGTTGCAGAAGCATTTTCTCCTGATGTTTTGCCCACCTCTATGGCAGACATCCTCAGAGCTCGTGAAGTCTGTTGGAAAATAGGCAAATGAGGTTTATAAATCTCTGGAATCATGTCCAGGATGGGAGAAAGAACTCTTGTCTGTTGGAGGCAAATATGAATGTTGCAGTTGACCACCTTGATTAGCATTTAATGGCCTGGCAGCTTCAAAGCCTGGCTGCTTACTAGCTAGGAGTATCCTTTGTTGGGAAGTGATTAGCTGGCCCTGATTGAATCTTGTCTGGAATTCTCTTGTTTTTTGATTGTTGCCCTTTATTCAGTGTCCTGATTTAAGAGGGTTTTTTTTAATACCAGTAGCCAGATTTTGTTCATTTTGATAGCTTTCTCCTTTCTGTTGAACTTATGAATTTCAGTGGCTTTTCTGTGTAGTCTGACATGGTGGTTGTTGCAGTGGTCCAGCATTTCTGTGTTCTCAAATAATATGCTGTGTCCAGGTTGGTTCATCAGGTGCTCTGCTATGGTTGACGTCTCCGGTTGAAATAGCCTGCAGTGCCTTTCATGTTCCTTGATTCGTGTTTGGGTGCTACGGTTGGTGATCCCTATGTAGCCTTGTCCACAGCTGCATGGTATATGGTAGACTCCTGCAGAGGTGAGAGGCTCCCTCTTGTCCTTTGCTGAACACAGCATTCCTTGGATTTTCTTGGTGGGTCTGTAGATAGTTTGTATGTTGTGTTTCCTCATCAGCTTCCCTATGCGGTCAGTGGTTCACTTGATGTATGGCAAGAACACTTTTCCTCTGGGTAGATCTTTGTCTTTACTCTCATGGCTTGTTCTCAGTCTTGCAGCTCTTCTGATGTCTGAGGTGGAGTCTCCATTGGCCTGTAAAGCCCAGTTTAGGTGTTCAAGTATTAGTAGCAGCCCTTTTTGCCAGGTTTTGAAAGGTTAATGAAAACAAATTATTTGGGAGTTCTTGTCAGGTGACTTCCCTGATTCTAGTGTAAAATTGCAGCACAAAATTAACATACAGTCAGCTTTCATGCTTGAGACTTCAGTAACCAACCCTGCTTTTGTAAAAAAAAGGCAAAGCCATATAGTTGATTAGGGGAAACTTGTTGTAGCCAACAGAAATCTACTATTTCCATTTTATCTCTCATGCCATTGCTTTTGATTCTTTGTTGGTTCTAGTAATGATGGGTTCCCTTTTGGCTGCCACCACCGAAGCCCCAGGGGAATACTTCTTCTCAGATGGAATCAGGCTGAAGAAATACCGGGGCATGGGATCCCTTGATGCCATGGACAAAAACCTGGGCAGCCAGAATAGATACTTCAGGTACAAGGAATGTTTGAGGATATCACACTGAATTAATTGCACATCCAAAATAATGAATGGGCCCTTCCAACACATAACACTATGTATCAAAATTTGGGGGGGAAATCTGTTCCTTGTGTGACAGTGTTATTTCGTGTTTGATTGTGTGGTGTTTACATTGAAAGTAGTTGATATATTCCATAAACTTTGTTTTTGTGGCTGCCACAAACTGTTGAATTGGTTGAGACTCTATGAGATATTCATTGAAAAACTACAACAAAAGGTGCTGCAGGATGTCCCACAAAAACAAAGTTTTTGCAGTTTAATAAACTTTATGTTAGGACCAATCAGGAAATGACATTTATAACCCATTATAATTATAACTTATTGTAATAATAAATAATAACAAACTTTATTTATACCCCGCCACCATCTCCCCCAATGGGGACTCGGGGCAACTTACATGCGGTCAAGCCCAAACAACATATTACAGCAAAATAAAACCAAAACACATGCAACAAGCAACAACATCATAATAATTAAGTAAAAAAATATGAATACATTAACAATAAAATTACATTAAACTCAATCACAATGACAGTGGATGGGCCACATGTGCAAGATAAAATGTTAAAAAAAACTTTTATGGGATTTCTTTTCTCCTGGAATTTAATTATACCAAATCTGAACAAATGTCAGAAAAAATAGCGCATATACTCGAGTATAAGCCAACCTGAATATAAGCCAAGGGACCTAATTTTACCCACAAAAAACTGGGAAATCTTATTGACTCATGTATAAGACAAGGGTGGGAAATGTACCAACTACTGGTACATTTCAAAATAAAAATAGATACCAATAAAATTCCATTAATTGAGGCATCAGTAGCTGAAATGCTTTTGAATATTTACATAAAATTGTAATTTAAGATAAAACTGTCCAACTCTGATTAAACCATTATTCTATCCTCCTTCATTGTAAATGTGCTTACATATCCTTCCAATAATAATAGAGTAAAAAATACATGTAATAAAAATAATGATAATAGAATAAAATAATGGAAATGTAAAAACGGTAATAATAGAGTTAAATAATAAATGTAATAATAACAACAATAATAAAGTAAAATAATAACTGTAATAATAATAATCTAAAATAGAGTAAAATAATAAATATAATAATAGAGTAAAATAATAAATATAATAATAACAGTAATAAATTGAGTAAAATAATAAATGCAATAATAACAATAATATAGTAAAATAATACATATAATAATAATAATAATAATAATAATAATAATACATGTAATAATAATAATGACAACAACAGAGTAAAATAATGAATAACTTTGACTCGAGTATAAGCCGAGGGGGACTTTTTCAGACTAAAATAAGGGCTGAAAAACTTGCCTTTCACTCGAGTATATACGTTACTTTCTATTTAGGACCAGTATTTGATATGTAGGTGGGGGACGAGGGCCTACAGTGTGCTTCTTTATGTCTCTGGCATTTCTTAAAAGTGCAAGTTTCTAATCTATGTTAAAATTGTTGCGGGACTGAGCAGCTTAAATTCTGCGGTTCTCACGGGCTTTTCCTCTCTTGATTCTCAGTGAGACAGATAAAATTAAAGTGGCACAGGGTGTCTCCGGTGCGGTGCAAGACAAGGGCTCCATCCATAAATTTGTGCCATACCTGATTGCTGGCATCCAGCACTCCTGCCAGGATATTGGAGCAAAGAGTCTAACGCAAGTCAGGTAAGAGCCCGAAGTATTTGGTAGGATGTAAATATTTGAAAGGATGTCACATTGAGAAAGAGGCAAGCTTGTTTTTTGTAGCTCCAGAGACTTAAGGACATGAAGCAAATTGCAGGAAAAGAGATTCCCAGTGGTCAGAGCTGTTCAACAGTGGAATATGCTGCCTTGGAGTCTCTTTTCCTAGGGGTTTTTAAGCAGAGGCTGGATGGCCATCTGCCAGGAATGCTTTGGTTGTGTTTTCCTGCATGGCAGAATGAGGTTGGCCTAGATGCCCCTTGAGGTCTCTTCCAACCCTTTGGCTCTACGAGTCATATCTGGGCAACTGCATGCAGCAGTCATATGAATGTGGTGAAACACAACAGTGTGTATTACGGAGATAGACCCTCAAAGGAGCAAGTACACTCTATCTCAGGTATGAGTAAACTTTGGCCCTCCAGGTGTTTTGGACTTCAGCTCCCACAATTCCTAACAGCCGGGAGGCTGTTAGGAATTGTGGGAGTTGAAGTCCAAAACACCTGGAGGGCCAAAGTTTGCCCATGCCTAGTCTATCTGGCCACACTGTGGTGTTTGTCCAATGATGTTACAAATGTGTATATATGTCTCTTATCTTCAGGGCCATGATGTATTCTGGAGAGCTGAAATTTGAAAAGAGGACGATGTCTGCCCAAGTGGAAGGAGGAATCCACGGCCTTCATTCGTATGTCCTCCCCCCCCCCCCCCCCCTATATTTTGCTTCTGGTTTGCTTTATTGTTTTACTTTTATAGCATGAAAAATATCTGGCATTATAAGCATGCTGCAGCCCAAAACCAACCCGTGCCCAATATGAATAGGAATCCTGCAGACTTGTTTCTTTAATGTGACTTCAGACACAACCAGACAGAGCAGCCCAATGGATCACTTTAATTTTTGGTCCTTCTCAATACTTTTTGAAGCAGGATTAGGTTGTGTTCACTTCCATTCACAAGCAGTAAACCTCTAGCAGCAGAAGGGAGCTCAGAGATTGAAAGAACAGAAAAAAACATGGGTTGCTATAAGTTTTCCAGGCTCTATAGCCATGTTCCAGAAGCATTCTCTCCTGATGTTTTGCCCACATCTATGGCAGGCATCCTCAGAGGTTGTGAGGTCTGTTGGAAACTAGATAAGTTAGGTTTATATATCTGTGAAATGTCCAGGGTGGGAGAAAGGACTCTTGTCTGTTTGAGGCAAACATGAGTGTTGCAATTGGCCACCTTAATTAGCATTTAATCGGCCTTGCAGTTTCAACGTCTGGCTGCTTCCACCTGGGGAATCCTTTGTTGGGAGGTGTTAGCTGGCCCTGATTGTTTAGTGTCTGGAATTCCCGTGTTTTTTTTAGTGTTGCTCTTTATTTACTGCTCTGATTTTAGAGTTTTTTAAAATACTGGTAGCATGATTTTGTTCGTTTTCATGGTTTCCTCCTTTCTGTTGAAGTTGTTCACATGCTTTTATATATCAGTGGCTTTTCTGTGTAGTCTGACATGGTGGTTGTTAGAGTAGTCCAGCATTTTTGTGTTCTCAAATAATATGCTACAGACTATTTCAACCAGAGAAGTCAGCCATAGCAGAACACCTGATGAACCAACCTGGACTCAGCACTGTGGATTAAAGCTGTTGTGGAAGTAGGAGCCTGTCTGTGGAAGTGGGCACCCCAACCACATACACACATGCACATTTTCACTTTTATTATGTAGAGATATAGAGATAGAGACTTTAAAAAATAATTGGCACAAACCATTTACCTTCAGTTATATGCCTGATTTCTCTAAAGATACCGGATCCTGTGTGATCTTGGAATTTTAGGATTTATTTATTTATTTTGTAGCAAAAGCATTGCAGACAAAGATATAAAAACTGATGAAAATAGAAAGGAGCACAAACAGCTAAATAATTTTTGACCAAAACCAGGCAACAGTGACCACAACAGCGTCTGTAACTCTAAACAATTCTTCCTCTGTGCATGAGACAGGGCATTGTGGACTAGCATACAGGTGCTGAGTTGTTTGTTCTGCTCCACAGTTGCACAAGGCGGAGGATTATTTTAGGTAGTTCCATTTTGCCAGGTTGTCTTTTGATCTGCCCACTCCACTTTTGAGCCTGTTCAGGGACTTCCAAGGATCTTAGGATCAGTCCTGGTTAATACTTGGATGAGAAACAGCCAAAGAAAAATCAGCTTCTGTAGGCTGTATTTCAGAGGAAGGAACTGGCAGAACTACCTCTGCGTATTCCCTGCCTAAGAAAACCCTATGAAATGTATGGGGTCGCCATGAGTTGACAGGCAAATTGAAGGCACATATTTATTTATTTCAAACATTTGTACCCCGCCCTTCTCATGACTGTTGGGACATGACTGGTGGGTTATTCCACAGTAGATACTTCACAGAAACCGTTTGGAGCTTCTGTAACTGATTGGTCTTCCTTTTCAAGGATAGTGCTAGCAGTCAAGCGAGAAATCGACATTAAGAGCACATTCCAGGGAGGGAAGTTGAACCTTCTTGCAGACTAGGCCTGGGCGGTTTCGTTCGTTAATTTTGTAATTCGTTAAATATTCGTTAATTTTAGCAATTACAAAACGATTACAAAACTTATTTTTAAACCCGGAAGTGTTTTTAAATATCGAAACGGCATGCGCCAAATAGTTTTGTATTTCCGTCCATTTCGGAAATACGTAAGATGGCTTGGCTAGATGCTTGCTGGGAGCTCTCCTCTCTCTCCTCTCCTTAGCCAGTCAGAGCCTGAAAGAGGAGGAGGAGGAGGAGGAGGAGAGGGCGGGGAAGGCGCCGGCTGAGCAAGCGAGCGAGAGGGCGAGCGACCCTCAGCGGGAAGGCGGCCCGTCCCTCCTTCCTCACCTTTGCGGTGGGTGTGCTTCGTTCTCCCAATTCCGCACTGAAACCTTAGCGGAGGGCTGGGCTAGATGGCCTTTGGGGAGCCCCTTCCTCCAATTCCGCATTCAAACCTTAGCAGAGGGCTGGACTAGATGGCCTTTGGGGACCCCCTTCTCCCAATTCCGCACTGAAACCTTAGCTTCGGAGGAGCCGGGCCTGACTCGGCGGCAGCGCTTGAGGGCCCGCCAGAGTGAGTGCCTGCCTTCCCTCCTTAATAATAATTTCTCCTCCCTATTCTACTAAATTAATAATTAAATTAAAAAAATATTGAAAAAAAAAGGGCGCCATCTTTACAAAATGTTTTGTAAATATTAACGAAATTTCATAAATACCGAACTTTTTTAAGGGAAAATTTTGTAATTATTTTAAATATCGAAACAAAAAAACCTCCCAAATACAAATTGATTTTAGAAACAAATTTTTGCGTTGTTACCCAGGCCTATTGCAGACACTCGAGATCATATTGGTTCTTCCGTTGTTCTTGGCTTTCCTCTCCCAGATATGAAAAGCGCCTTTTCTGATGAAGGTCCCGTGCTCTGCCTTTGCAGCCGCCCTGCAGTGCCTGTGCTGCCCCGTCATGAACTGCTCCCTTCACAGAAGTGCCATTTCTCCGGCAGGAAGGGGCTCCCTGGAGCTCCCCATGGCTCATCAGCTGCTTTCACGAGGCTGAAGAGGACGCAGAGGAAGAAGTGCTCTCGGCTGAATTAGGCTCTTGAGAGGGGGCCTGTCTGTGCGCGCGCGTGTGTATGTGTGTCAGCGTTCATTTTTTTTACAATAAAACCAAAGTGCAAGAGAGTGCGTGCAACGTTTCTAACTGTATCCTGATGCGCTTCCAGCTCATAAATGTAAAAAATTCAACTTTTTTATTTCTCTTCGTAACTTCCAAAGGACAATAAGAGAGTATTTTCACAGCTGTTGGTGGAAACTTTACAGCAGGCGTGGGCAAATTTCAGCCCTCCAAGTGTTTTGGTCTTCAACTCCCACAATTCCTAACAGCTAGTTCATATAGTTCATATTTGTGCCTCATATTCCTTGCTGCATCCCCTATCTTCATTCCATGACTCTCTTTCCCTCCAAACTTATACAATTATAGATAATAATAGATTAAAATCTAGAAAGGCATTAATAGAACCCTGCTTACACAGGGGACTTTCTTCTGGTTCCTTGCTCCCTTCACAAACACCTGAAAAAGGTCCTTAGCTTTTCTCAAATACCAAGGGAAAGGGATGGAGGGTTGCACTGAAATAGAATATTTAAACCTCCTTTTCTAGGTTGCCTTGGCTATGTGGAAGAGCCTAACTTGGCTTGGCAGACTCCTTTGGGGCCTAGCATTTGCGCCTCTTCCTTTGCCCTAATTTTTTTTTTTTTTTTGTCGTGTAAGGAGTGACTTGAGAAACTGCCCTAAAATGAGCACGAAACCCATTCTAAGATGCAGGTTGTGGGGGTCAAAAATTCAGATTCAGATCTGTAGTAAAGGTTTCCCCTGACATTAAGTCTAGTCAACTCTGGGGGTTAGTGCTCATCTCCCATTTCTAAGCGAAAGAGTTGGCGTTGTCTGTAGACATCTCCAAGGCCACGTGGCCGGCATGACTGCATGTAGCGTTCGTTACCTTCCCACAGAAGCAGTACCTGTTAATCTACTCATATTTACATGTTTTCGAACTGCTAGGTTGGCAGAAACTGAGCCTAACAGCAGGAGCTCACCCCCGCTCCTCAGATTCAAACTGCCAACCTTTCAGTCATCAAGTTCAGCAGCTCAGAGGTTTAACCCGCTGCGTCACCCGGGGGGGGGGAGGGGCATATTCACTCTTCAAGTCCGCAGACACATTTCATACAAATTGCTTCCTCTGTTATTTGGGGAAGATCCTTTCCACCTTAGGCTTCTTTAAGAAAGTGTGGGAGAAGGACATGAAAAATAATCATTCAAGGTTCCACACAACATTATTCTGAATGTTCAGCATTGGCAGGATGAGGGAAGAGAGCCGTTTTGAATCTTTAGGGGAGAAAAAGCAGGAAATAAGGGAAATTAAAGAGTTGGAAGAAACCATAGGGGCCATTCAGTCCAGCCCCCAACAGATGGCTCTCCAGCCTCTGTTTAAAAACCTCCACAGGTGGTGCCTCCGCCATACTCAGAGGCAAAGAGTTCCACTGCTGAACGGCTCTTACAGTCAGGAAGTTCTAATGTTTAGTTGGAATCTCCTTTCCTGTAATTTGAACCCACTGCTCTGAGTCCTAGTCTCCAGGGGAGCAGAAAACAAGCCTGTTTCCTCTTGTGACATCCCTTCAAATATTTTAACATGGCGATCATGTCTCCTCTCAACTTTCTCTTCTACGTGCTCAACATAACCAGTTCTTTAAACAGCTCGGAGAGAAAGAGACTGACTGGGTCAAGATATAAGCCACGTGGCTTAAAATGCCTTTTTATTAAGTTTGGATCAAATCTCCTTCCGCAAATCGAAACACAATACCAGCCTCTTCTGAAAAGCAAGAATCTGCCCCCTTTGTACAAACAGCTCTAAAACATTGCAAATAACACACATTGCTAGGGTGTACTTTTTTTTCCAAGGATATCCCAAATCTCCACTATTCTGAGTTCTGTTATCGGTGATCACACATGGCAGAAATCCATGCTTTGGCCTGCTTTGCTTCCAAGCAAGGGACCACCACACGAAGCAGAGAAGAATCTGGCAGGAAAGCTAATGGAGCTTCTCTCTCTGTCACCTGCCAGGGATTTTCTGCATCTTTCACCTTTCCCTCAGGCACCGGTTGTAGCAGGAGGAGGGATAAGTCCAGCTGCTGCCAGACGCCGCTCACTGGTCAGGAAATTGAAGGTTGCGCAGGCATTGGGCTATGGGAGCAATGGGAAAAAGTATTAGGTTCTTGGCAGCAGAAAAATAAATGCCAAGGTAGAGTGGAAAGTGAATAATAATAAAGTAGAATACCAAGTAGAGTGGAAAGTGAATAATAAGTGAATAATAATAATAATAATAACACTGGCCAACACATTTTGGTGATTCAAATGTGAGACCCTGTTTCTGGGTATACTGGACCTGCTTATTCCAAAAGTGGCACCAATTTCCCCCTATCTGCTCTACTTTTTTGAGACACAGAACATAGGCCATCTACTAGAAAATAATGATAACCATAGAAAATAATAATAACCATTTCTAAGAAACTAGAGCTGATGTGGTCTGACAATGTTCTGAATTGGGCCCTAAATAACCCCAGGAACAGGCCTAAAACGTACAAGAAAAATTGTTGAGCTGTGAATATAAAAGTGCATATGCATTTATTTCTCCTGGTTTATTTAAACTTGAATAAAACTCAAAGTTCAGCTGAACCAACCTGTTGTGATCAATCTATATTGTAAAACTAATGCAGTTTGATACCACGTGAACTGTCGTGGCTCAATGGCTATGGAATCACGGGAGTGGCAGCTTCACAAGGCCTGCAGCCTTCAGTACCAAACAGTACTGGTGTCTGGGTTGTAGGTTTTTCAGGCTATATGGCCATGTTCTAGAAGCATTCTCTCTTGATGTTTCACCTGCATCTGGCAAAACATCAGGAGAGAATGCTTCTAGAACATGGCCATATAGCCCAAAAAACCTACAACAACCCAGTGATTCCAGCCATGGAAGCCTTCGACAGTACTGGTGTTGCACCAAACACCAACTCCATATTATTGGAACATGAAAGTTACAAGTGATATCAAATTTTGTTCATTCTACAATGGAGATGCACCCACACAATGCACTAGTCTTCTGCTGCCTTTGCAACTATGAGGATGCATCTACACTGCATAACTGCCATGACTCAAGGCTATGGAATCATGGGAGTTGTAGTTTCACAAGGTCTGCTGGTGCTGGTGTCTCTGCTTTTGTAGTCCCGTATCTCCAACATCTTGTGAGCAAAACAAAAACAAACAAAAAAACCCCCACACACATGAGGTTGGAAACATACATTTTAAAATTAAAGACTTACAGTAAGTGTTTGGAACAAGATGCTAGATAAGAAAGGGAGATTCCAGGCTTCGTGTCCTGTACTGCCCCACAGATTGAAAACACAAGCTCGAGTGACCCTATGAAATCCCCTAACAAACCCAGTCCCTAATAACCAAGGGAGGAGATTTCCCCCCATCGCTTACCGTATCTTGCACTTCCACAGCGATCCCACATTGGCGCATTAATTTCAAAACAGCAGGGTCCAGCCTCTGCACCTTTTCTCCCGTTCCCAGCACCAGGATTTCTAGGGCAGACAAAGGCAGGGGGTGGGTTAGAAAACTCTAAATTACTCTCCCCAATGGAGATCCCACAGCTAAATCAGCTGCCAGAATTCAAGATACAACTGAAAACTCTCTCTTCCAGCAGGCCTACCCAGTATTATTATTATTATTATTAATAATAATAATAATAATCATCATCATCATCATCTATATAAATAAAAATGTAATGTTTGTTTGTTTGTGGGATTAACATACCGTATATTCCGGCATATAAGACGACTGGGCGTATAAGACGACCCCCAACTTTTCCAATTAAAATATATTGTTAAGACAATTCCCATGCATAAGACTACACCCGCGTATAAGACGACCCCTGACTTTTGAGAAGATTTTCTTGGGTTAAAAAGTAGTCTTATACGCCAGAATATACTGTAACTCAAAAACCACTGGATTAATTGCTGCCAAATTTGGCCATAAGACACCTACTAACCCAAGGAGTGACCATCACTGAAAAAAATGATTTTGTCATTTGGGAGTTGTAGTTGCTGGGATTTATAGTTAACCTACAATCAAAGAGCATTCTGAACTCCACCAATGATGGAATTGAACCAAATATGGATCACAGGACTCCCATGACCAACTGAAAACACTACAAGGGTTTGGTGGGCATTGACCTTGGTTTTGGAGTTGTAGTTCACCTGCATCATCCAGAGAGCACTGTGGACTCAAACAATGATGGGTCTGGATCAAACTTGGCTTGAATATTCCATATGCCCAAATATGAACACAGATGGAGTTTGGGGGCAAACTTCCCACACAGGACCCTCATGACCAACAGAAAATACTTAAGGCCACCCAGTCCAACTTCTTTCAATGGGCAAGAAAATGTAATCAAAGCCCTCCTGACAAAGAGCCATCCAGCCATAGATATAGATAGATATATATGATTCATACACACACAGATATAGTATCATAGATTTGAAAGGGACCCCTAAAGAAGGACAATTCTATGTTGCCTGTTCCAGAGTAGGCAAACCAGACATTATTTACATCAACACTGACAAAGAAACAGCAAGAAATACTGCTTATCCACAAGTATAAAGAAATTACATATATTAGAAACCAACACTTTCTCATTACTTTATTGTCCAGATCACCAGACTGGGCCACAGCAATGCGTGGCAGGGACGGCTAATAATAATAATAATAATAATAATAATAATAATAATAATACTTGCCTCACCCTATGGCTGGAAGAGATAAGTCTTCAGTTGTGTCTTAAATTCCGACAACTGATTTTGAACCACGACTTTTTAATTCGCATTCTATGACTATTACATTTTAATCTTTATTGCATGTACTTTTATACATATATGTATTTTACAGAAATGTGTTTCAATATATGCATTTTGCTGAATGCATTTAAGGATGATGAGTTTTAACTGTGTTGTGTCCCATGAGGAGAGGTGGATAACAAATAATAATAATAATAATAATAATAATAATAATAATAATAATTACCATTATTATTATTATCATCATCATAATCACCATCACCATAACATTCAGGAATCTAGGTCTGAGAGGCAGCCCTTTCCATAGTCTCTCCAATCTCAGTGGTCCCCCATTGACCTCATTGTTAGCAGCTGAAATACTGCCCTTCCATTTTATTTGCTAAGACTGGATCTACACTTCTATATATTCCAGTTGATCCCAGTGGCTCAGTGGGTTAAACCCTTGTACTGGCAGGATTGCTGACCAATAGGTCAGCAGTTCGAATCTGGGCAGAGCAGGTTGAGCTCCCTCTGTCAGCTCCAGCTTCCCATGCAGGGACATGAGGGAAACCTCCCACAGGATGGTAAAACAACAAAAACATCCAGGCGTCTCCTGGGCAAAGTCCTTGCAGATGGCAAATTCTCTCACACCAGAAGTGACTTGCAGTTTCTCCAAGATCTTGAGTCCTCGTGGACAACAAGTTAAACATGAGCCAACAATGTGATGTGGCGGCAAAAAAAGCCAATGGGATTTTGGCCTGCATCAATAGGAGCAGAGTGTCTAGATCTACCCCTCTATTCTTGGTTAGACCACACCTGGAATATTGTGTCCAATTCTGGGCACCACAATTCAAGAGAGATATTGACAAGCTGGAATGTGTCCAGAGGAGGGCAACTAAAATGATCAAGGGTCTGGAGAACAAGCCCTATGAGGAGCAGCTTAAGGAGCTGGGCATGTTTAGCCTGAAGAAGAGAAGGCTGAGAGGAGATATGATAGCCATGTATAAATATGTGAGAGGAAGCCACAGGGAGGAGGGAGCAAGCTTGTTTTCTGCTTCCTTGGAGACTAGGACGCGGAACAATGGCTTCCAACTACAAGAGAGGAGATTCCATCTGAACATGAGGAAGAACTTCCTGACTGTGAGAGCCGTTCAGCAGTGGAACTCTCTGCTCCGGAGTGTGGTGGAGGCTCCTTCTTTGGAAGCTTTTAAACAGAGGCTGGATGGCCATCTGTCAGGGGTGATTTGAATGCAATATTCCTGCTTCTTGGCAGGGGGTTGGACTGGATGGCCCATGAGGTCTCTTCCAACTCTTTGATTCTAAGTCACTCCTGACACGAGAAAAAAATATCCCAGATTATCTGCTTTGAAGTAGATTATATGAGTCTCCACTGCCAGATAATCTGAGATAAATAGGTAATCTGGGATCGGATTAAATGGGGCCGTGTAGAAGGGGCCTACACTGATGTTGCCAAAGCCCAAGGCACAGGCTTTGGTTTAGTGCAGGCGGTCCACTTACGACATACCTAGCCGGGGCTCCAGCAGGCGGAAGAGGGCCAGGCTCTCCGCAGTGATGTCTGAATGTGTTCCAACCTGGAAACGGAAAGAGAAGTAGAGATGATACCTCACTACCTCTGAGGATGCTTGCCATAGATGCAGGCAAAACGTCAGGAGAAATGCCTCTAGAACATGGCCATATAGCCTGAAAAAACCTACAACAACCCAGTAGAGATGATAGTTCAAGAACATAGCAGGGAATGCAGCCCCACCATTGCACCACATAAATACAAACTACGATGACCACATCCCTCGAGAGACCAACCCCAAGATCCTTCAGCCGTAGGGTGCATCTACACTATGGCTCAGTGCTATGGAATCCTGGGAGTTGTAGTTTTACAAGGTCTTTTAGCCTTCTCTGCCAAAGAGTGCTGTTACTTCACCAAACTACATCTCTGAATAGCATTGAGCCATCGCAGTTAAAAAGGTATCAAACTGCATTCATTATATGGTATAGACGCACCCCTGATCTCTCTGCCTCTTCCTACTCACGTTCCACTGAAGGATGGCTCGGGGCAAGACGGCACAAGGCCCCACTATCTTGTTCCCGCTGATGCTGAAGCCGCGGCTGGTGTAACTTTCCACGAACATGATGTCTGGGGACTCCTTTTCCAGGTGCCGGATGGTCGTCTTCTGGTAGAGCTCATCGTCGGAAGGAGTGAGGCGGTGGCCTCGCTGGGGCTGCCTGCCATTGACAAGGCAAAGGGAAGGAGATGCCACCTAAGCATTAGGAAGAACCTCCTGACCTTAAGAACTGTTCAGCAGTGGAACTCTCTGCCTTGGAGTGTGGTGGAAGCTCCTTCCTTGGAGGCTTTTAAACAGGCTGGATGGCCATCTGTCAGGAGTGCTTTGATTGTGCCTTACCTGCATGGCAGAAAGTCCAAAACACTTGAAAGGTGTTTTGCCTGGTCTACACTGTACTGCCATGGTTCAATGCTAAGAAATCCTAAGAGTTATAGTTTGGTAAAGACCTTGAAAAACTGCAGATCCCAGGATCCTAAAGCATTGAGCCATGGCACTTAAAATGGGGTCAAACTACAGTCTGTGGGTCTCCAGGCGTTTGGGCCAACAACTCCCACAGGTTGAGAACAACTGTTCTACAGTGCAAATAATACATTTGGTTTTCCTTGACGGTCTCGTATCCAATTTCTAACCAGGGCCGACCCTGCTTAGCTTCCAAGGTCAGGGAGGACTCACTGCCTTTAGGGTACAGTGCTTTGTACCTATAGATCTACTACTTACAGAAGGGCGAACACAGGCTTCGGGTACACCGCCACGAGTCTCCTGCCCAGAACCGGGCCGAACGTTCTGAGCGCAGCCATGGAGGGGAGGAGCTAGTGCAGAAGGGGCGGGGCTTTTGCTGGGGAGTGTCACGTGGTCAGGAACTTCGACTGCAGCCCTCATTGGAAGAACCTGCCTGGCTTTACTATTGGAGCTCTTGGCGCCCCCTAGTGGTCGTAGCCGCACAATGCACCGCCCAAGACAATTTGTATTTAGAGACAGCCCAAGATATTGTGCTGGGAAAAAAAAATATTAAATCCAGAAACATTTTGAATAACATTTTGAATAAGGGATACTTAACTGTATTAAACATTGCAGGAGAGCCAAGCGTTACAAAAAGTCCCATTTTACCCACTTTTGAGGTTCATGAAATTTTGGGTTTAGTTCTAATTTAATATTTGTATGTTGTAGGTTTTTAATTGCATTCTTCTTAATGGTATGAGTTGCTTTGAGTCCCTTTTAAGAGAGGAAAACAGCACAATAGAATAGTAGTAGAAGTTGTTGTTCATTCGTTCAGTCGTTTCCGACTCTTCGTGACCTCATGGACCAGCCCATGCCAGAGCTCCCTGTCGGCCGTCACCACCCTCAGCTCCTTCAAGGTCAGTCCAGTCACCTCAAGAATGCCATCCATCCATCTTGCCCTTGGTCGGCCCCTCTTCCTTTTGCCTTCCACCTTCCCCAGCATCATTGTCTTCTCTAGGCTTTCCTGTCTCCTCATGATGTGGCCAAAGTACTTCAACTTTGTCTCTAGTATCCTTCCCTCCAATGAGCAGTCGGGCTTTATTTCCTGGAGGATGGACTGGTTGGATCTTCTCGCAGGCCAAGGCACTCTCAGAACTTTCCTCCAACACCACAGTTCAAAAGCATCTATCTTCCTTGCTCAGCCTTCCCTAAGGTCCAGCTCTCACATCCGTAGGTGACTACAGGGAATACCATGGCTTTGACTAGGCGGATCTTTGTTGCCAGTCTGATGTCTCTTTTACTATTTTATCGAGACTGGACATTGCTCTCCTCCCAAGAAGTAAGCGTCTTCTGATTTCCTGGCCACAGTCTGCATCTGCAGTAATCTTTGCACTAGAAATACAAAGTCTGTCACGGCCTCCACATTTTTTCCCTCTATTTTCCAGTTGTCAATCATTCTTGTTGCCATAATCTTGGGGGTTTTTTTACGTTTAGCTGCAACCCAGCTTTTGTAGTAGTAGTAGTAATGATGCGTAATCCTTCCTCTTTTGTTTTTCCAGTTTCTTCTGCCTGCAACCAGCGAACACCCGTTAAGGAGAAAACGAGACTCAGCATTGTTTTTAAAATTGTGAGCCATTTTGAGTCTCCTTGTTAGAGATATAAACATGATAATAAACATAATAATAATCATAATGATAATTGCAAAGACTCTGACACATGCCAGTAAAAGTGGTCCTAGTAGGTAGTGATGGGTACACTGGGTGCAGTGCCTAAAGACCTTGGCCTGCACTTAAACACAATTGGCACTGACAAAATTACCATTCATCAGCTGCTGTCAACAACTTACATCTAGAAATAGTTTTCTAAGATTTACAGAGACACTCGCCGGAACACCTCAGCAAGCGAGAGTCCAAAAGTGGCAGGCTCAAACCCAGAACCTCAATCAATGGCTAATACCAAATGAGAGACTCCCCCCTGGGCACACAGAGGACTGGGCGACTTGGAAGGCGCTGAACAGACTGCGCTCTGGCACCACGAGATGCAGAGCCAACCTTCAGAAATGGGGCTACAAAGTGGAATCAACGACATGCGAGTGTGGAGAGGAGCAAACCACTGACCACCTGCTGCAATGCAACCTGAGCCCTGCCACATGCACAATGGAGGACCTTCTTGCAGCAACACCAGAGGCACTCCAAGTGGCCAGATACTGGTAAAAGGACATTTAATCAACTATCAAACTCACAATTTTTGTATTTTGTCTGTTTTTTTGCTTTGTTCTGTTAGAAATGTAATATAATCGACTGGTTGCACTGATACGATAAATAAATAAATAGCTGCTGGGATCTGCACACATTATTCACTGATACATCAGATAGTCCTAGACACTTGGGAAGTGTCCGATGTGCAATCCAATACAATAGCCAGCAGAGTGATCTTGTTTGCTGTGTACTAATCTTGTTGTGTTTCTAATAATAATAATAATAATAATAATAATAATAATAATGAAAATGAACACATCAAACTACTCTGGGACTTCCGAATTCAGACTAACAGAGTTTTGGAGCATAATACTCCTGACCTTACAATCATAGAAAAAAAACAAGTATGGATTGTCAATTTTGCAATCCCAGGCGACAGCAGGATTGACGAGAAGCAACTGGAAAAGCTGACACGATATGAGGATTTAAAGATTGAACTGCAAAGACTCTGGCACAAACCAGAAAAGGTGGTCCCAGTGGTGATTGGCACACTGGGTGCAGTGCCTAAAGACCTTGGCCTGCACTTAAAATCAGTCTGCGCTGACAAAATTACCATCTGTCAGCTGCAAAAGGCCACCCTACTAGGCTCTGCATGCATTATTCGCCAATACATCACACAGTCCTAGACACTTGGGAAGTGTCTGACGTGTGATTGAATACAAAAGCTAGCAGAGTGATCTTGTTTGGTGTGACTAAACTTGCTGAGTATCAAATAATACTAATAATAACAAAACAGGATAATAATAATAGTAATAATAAAGAATAACAACAGACTCTAGGTTAAACAGAACTCAAGCAAGCAGAACTCTCAAGCAACCGCCAAATAAATTTTAAAAAACACTTTACAAATTGTAAATAAAAATGAAAATAAAATCAATTTCAATTGCCAAAATTGTACACTGCATTCACAAAGTTGTTTTTATAATTCAGCATGTTATATTAAGTTTGTCTTTATTTGATTTTGATTCCTGTATTTCAATATTAATATGAAATCAATACAGAGTTCATGGCACGGTCTGGTATGGGGTATAATACTGGGCCCATTTCTAAAACTCAGGCAAAATTGGCTCTTCTGTGGCATTATGTTCTGGTCTCCAGACAGGCCCCTCAACTTGGGTTTCATGCCCGCTCCTCCCTTTCTGATACCTGGCACCTTTCCTCCCCCTTGACACCTGCTCTGTATTCCCCATTTCCTTTGCCTCCTGCAAATTTGAGCCAGAATGGCTGGAAAACACCAGTCTATGGGGGCATTGGGGTATTTCCACCAGCAGCAGCACCTGCTCATTAACTGGGGAGAAACTGAGATTCGGAGAAAGAGAGAGACCCTGCCCTTCCCATGGCAGATGGGCAGCCCCACCTTCGAAAGACGGCATGTGTTTGCTTCCTTGTCCTTCCAGGATGTGACCTTCCAGATCCCGGTCCAAAGAGGCAAAGCCAAGCTCAAAGCCAGGCTGGTGAAGGCCACAGAGTTGGACACTCGAACCCGCTTTGTAGGTTGCAGGAGGAACTGGGTGACTATTGCTGCTTTCATGCACAGGGATGCATCAATAGCAATCCATAGTTGTCATTAAACTACGGTCTCCTCTCCACATTTACAGGTTTAACTTGTGCAGATTTGATTATCCATGGATTTGGGTAATATGGTGTCTCTAGGAATATCTAGGTTCTCCGTATATTCTGTTGCCCATAGGGTTGAGTTGAAGGACCCAGCGCATGTATCAAATTTATTTTCATTGAGGACTACATCGGCTTTATGATTACCTTCAAAGGGTCTTTGAATCCATGGAGAATTATAAAGGTTATAAAGAGCCAACTGTCTATCCGTCTATCTATAGGGGTTGGTCCTCTTTCGTCTTTGTCCAGTTTGGGTCCCCAGATGCTATTGAACAACTCTCTTCACTTCTGATTATCTGCCATGTGGACTGGGGACAATGGGAATTGCAACACAACAGCAACTCTGGGGTTGGGTAAATGCACAGTGGTTCTCAACCTGGGGTCCCCAGATGTTTTTTTGCCTTCAACTCCCAGAAATCCTAACAGCTGGTCAACTGGCTGGGATTTCTGGGAGTTGTAGGCCAAAAATATCTGGGGACCCCAGAGGGAATTTTTAAAAACATGCATCATATCTACAAGCCTTGTCTCTTTATTCAAACCCCACTCTCCTGTGTCAACAGAACAAACTGCATCCTTACAGATGTTACTGAGTCCCAACTTCCATCAGCTCTAGTCGTGGCATCTAAGAATTAGGAATACAGGAGCTGTAGTTCAGCATCTGGTGGGCCACATTAAATGACATGACAGACCAGATTCGGACTGCCTTGAGTTTAATAAATGATCTAGAGATAAACTTGTCCAGACTTGTATAAGGCCTTCGGCATGGATAGTTGACTGCAGAATTTCACTGGTGGACCTAGAGGTTCCTTTATTGTTTATTCGTTCAGTCGTTCCGACTCTTCATGACCTCATTGACCAGTCCACACCAGAGCTCCCTGTTGACCGTGGTCACCCCCAGCTCCTTCAAAGTCAAGCCAGTCACTTCAAGGACACCATCTATCTTGCCTTAGTTGGTCCCTCTTCCTTTTTCCTTCCATTTTCCCCAGCATCATTGTCTTCTCCAAGCTTTTCTGTCTTCTCATTATGTGGCCAAAGTACTTTATCTTTGCCTCTAATAGCCAGGCTTTATTTCCTGGAGTATGGACTGGTTGGATCTTTTTGCGGTACAAAACCCTCTCAGAATTTTCCTCTAACACCGCAGTTCAAAAACATCTATCTTCCTTCGCACAGCCTTCCTTATGGTCCAGCTCTCACATCCGTAGGTGACTATGGGGAATACCATTGCTTTAACTATGCGGATCTTCGTTGCCAGTGTGATGTCTCTACTCTTCACTATTTTATCGAGATTGGCCATTGCTCTCCTCCCAAGAAGAAAATGTCTTGCGATCTCCTGGCTGCCGTCAGCATCTGCAGTCATCTTTGCACCTAGAAACACAAAGTCTAGATTCTTAGAGAGATGTTATGTCAGGTTATTTTTGTTTGTGTGCATTTGTTCCACTCTTGCAAGAAATCTTAACCCCCACAAAAGTGGAAGTCTACTGTAGTAAGTTCTTTTGTTTCACTAGCCTTACCATGGTGGCGAATCA